GCTCTTCGTCATAAATGCCAATCCCAAATGCCATAAAGCCGTATGAAATCAGGATAACAGGATCAAAGGATGTGTGAAATGAATGTCCGATGTATGAACAACAGATATGACAATATGAAGACCCGTTGAAAAATTTATTATATTTCCATTTTTGGTCAGAACTGGTTAGTGGTGATCGATCGAGTTATCGAGTTTGTTATTGTACACTTATACTAGCAACCAACAACAATGACTGTATAAAAATGGACTGTAAGCAGTACATTCACATGATAAAGTACATAGTCTACGCTAAGAATTGGCTTAATAACAGAGGTAGAATCAAGAGAATTGGTAAATTCGAAAGATTCGATGCTGCCGAATGATCACAATAATCCGTCGAACAACAGCACACTCGCGCTTTGCCTCCTTCGAAGTCGTATTGCGTCGTACATCCTTCAACCTGAACCAATTCAATCAGATTCCAAAAACTTCATTTGATAACAACCAAAATCAACTGCTGCATAAACATCGCTCCTCGTATGAAACCAACGACAACGACAGCGTTACAATGTAATTACGCAAGTCGAGTGTGCAGAATCTATCAAAAGTCGCTGCTGTCAAAAGACAATACGAAAAATTCAAAAAAATTTATGAATTTTGCACTTGATTTTGCCTGACATGAAAAAATGTCGAAAATTATGACTTCTCATAAAACTCAAAATCAATTGCATTCAATAAGATCACCTACCATACAGAACTTCTCCTTAAAGCCCGTCATCTCACCGTCGCACAATCGTAACACACCATTGTATCGACCTAAATTCCGCTTCAACATCAACACTTCAACAATCACACACACACACGATGATAATAATAACATTAACACCTACCATCGTCTGCAAAATAATCAAAATGAAGTTGCAAGCAATAATGTGTGCTCGGCAAGCAGGTCTGGTTCGAGCCCGGAATCGATAGAATTCGACCATAATGCCGAACCTTTCCTCCGTAACGACATCTCAACGCCTCGCTAACCATTCCAAATATGCACATCAAAAACGTTGCGCACCGGAAAGTGGCCTTAAATGCAGATTTCAAGATGAATTTTCTAAAATATTGGATAAAAAATCTCAAAATCTAATCATGTTTGTAATCGCAAACAACTGGCGTCGAAACAGCTGATATTAACCTCCTTCCAAGATTTCTGTATCAGATGTGCATGCGTGAACAATTCAAGGTATGAACGATCTTGCACTTGTAAGAATATATATGATCGCTAGTGAGTCAATTTTTCAATCAGCAGTTTCGAATGTGAATTATCAGAAAACTTGCTTACAAATTAAACAATTAAATTCTCCACTTGAACTTCATTTTGCTAATAAACATTCTCCGAGAACCACAATTGAAATTTCAAACAGTCTAATGTCTAATGTTCAATAAGAATTTGACAAAACTGACCTGATACGGAAGCATAATATTAGAATGGTGATGATGAATTAATACAACTTGATATAATAGCACAATAACAGCAATAAATAACGTCACTACACCAGTGAAATTAACAATTGTAAATTAACAATGTATTAAATTGCGAAACTGATTTACATCAACAAGCAGAACGCTACACTCGTCT